TGGATAGTGCTACCGACACTCTAAAAATAGGCAAGGATGGAAAGTGTTTTGGTCCGCCTCCTGGTCGTCATCTCCCCGAATTAAAGTCTGGGTAGCCTGGACGCCTACCTCACTCGAGGAAGGGAGGACTGTGAGGCCATGTCTCGCGCGGTGGCTATATACAAGATGACAAAGGCATGTTAGGGTAGCCAAAGGGTTTCCTGTTTTCCCTTTGGTGGATATTAACGGTTGAGGGAAGGGTGAAAGTCCCTAGCACCAAGGTCTCTAGTGGTAATAACTAATGCACCCACAACATGAGTAGTCCAAATGTCAACCCGAGTTATTGTCGTATATAGTCGTCGGAGAAGGACTCGCCTTCCCCGTGTCATGCTCTTTGAGTGCAGGGCTTGTGCGCGTCACGAATAAACTTTCATTTATTCATTCAAAATACAGTCAAACCCCTGTTAAGACGATGTAATTGAGGCCGTGAAAAATATCGTCATACAGAGAAATTACCTTTTTTTGGCGGTATTTTAACACGAATCTAGCAAAAAAACCCTGGTTGAAGAACGAGAATCGTGTAATGGGTAAATGTATGGGAACGAAGTCCGTTCTGAAAAAAATATCGTCTTAACAGGGGTCTGACTGTATGTATCGAAATATGCCCGAGGTCAGAGAGCGATCCAAAAGGGGTAGGATCTGCCGTCTTCGAAGTGTAGGAGGTGATAATCGAGGTTCACAATGGAGGTTTAGAATTAATAATTCAAAGATTAAGAGATCATTGTGCTTGCCAGATACCAAAGTTGATTATGATCAAACGAAGAGAAAAATACAAATTGCGAAGCTGAAGATCTGGGTAAGCCATTTCTTCTGCCTCTTATAATCAAAACACTTCATTAATACAATCTCCGCCTCGTCCTTGAACCATCCATCGTATGAGGGTATTTGGGCTGAATTGCCTATTGAAAGGCTAAGGGCGATGGATAGGGAGACGCCACCTTGTGAATAGAAGACTGCTAGGTATGGGAGAATTCTATAGATGACTTAGAGTAAGATGATTGAATGATGGTTAGTTGTATTTGTGGATGATGGATGTAGATACTGAGAGTAAAAAGGCCCTATCTATATACAGGAGTTCCTAATCTTATTCCTCTACATGTTATTCTCTATGATAGCTACAGTAACTAAAATGGTTTCCTCATTGTAGTGAACACGTTGATGTTAGTGTGTAGCGACCAGGAGGCAGTAGTGATCAGACTCTAAGGGGTTACCTTAGCTGGTGCACAGTTATCCCCTGATGGTGTGTGCAGTTATGAACTCAGATTTCTACAACATTGCCAATCTCCTCTGATATTTAATCTAGGAAATAATATGTGGATTCTTCCTGTATCCTAAATACGAATCATCCCCGAAAGCCTATACACATTCATTCATTGTTCTAGTTTAACGTCCTGTTTGGCTTCTATATACAGATCCATGACGACGGTAATCCGCTTTGGTAAGGGAAAAAGCTTTCAACAAGCAAAACCCGATGTCCTGCCACTCTGAACCGACCCGGCTTAAGGCTGAGGACGTTCCTTTCAACCACAATTTTATAAACTTTCCCCAGGATTGGCTAGCTCTCCCTTCAATCAGACTAACGTTATGAAGAATTGAAAAGAGAAGGCGCCTCCTCACTTGGCGTTGGTCGTCGAAGTGTTCGAAGAGTTGGCCCCAATGGTGGTACTGTTGTGGCGGGGATTGTTGGTGCCACTGGGGCTTGGACTACCTTGCGTGGTCGTCCCGGCCCTCTTTTGAGTCCTTCAGCCTTTTTACTGGTGACCAAAGTGAATCCCTGATCATCAGTTGGTCTGACTGTTTGTGTTGGCGCCACCGTAGGTTTTTCGTTCCATATTTCCGCCGTTCTTCACAACAGCTCCATCCGAGCCTTCTCCACACTTCCCTTGTTGACCTGGTAGGTCCGACACGCTGCTTTCTGCCACGAACGGTGCTCCTTGCCGCAGTTCGCATAAAAACCCCTTTACCTCGGACAGTCCCGAGTTTGGTGAGCGCCAGCGCACTCACCGCACCTAGCTACCTTTTCACACAACGCCTGCGTGTGTCCCCATTGACTGTAGTTGCAACACTACTTTGGCTGGGACCGTGGTGACCACACTTGCGCGGTGTAGAGCATGGCGTTCATGACAAAGCCGTTTCGGACCACTTCCGTCGGCATTGCCTCCGATGGGAGGCTTACCACAATTGATCCACGAGTGCGACCATCTTTCTTTGACCGCTGGTGTTCCTTTCCGTCGTGTAACCAGCTTATACGACTTATGACTAAGCCTGGAATCCGTGCATTTGTAGCCGTCTCTATCTCCCTGATGATGGTAAAATTGTTTGCATCTCTGCCCCCTTCAATTCATGTCCGTAATGGGGCACCGTCGACCTCGACTGTGAAATCTTGCCGCAGAAATTTGAAATCCGTTGGCTGTCGCATGTTTAGCGCCACGTCTCTCTGGGACGCCTGCTGAACGAAACTTCGGCATCGTTGCTCCGCATTTGACGAATTGCGTATTCACCTTGTATGTGCTCTATTGCCTTTGAAATCAGCTCTCGTGGGTGCAATTTTTGGGCGCCATCGATTCTTATTCTACAGCTGTCTTCGTCATTTGCGGAGCCACGACCGACGCGTAGCTCCTTAGTCTCGGCGCGCCAGAAACCACTGCTGGTGCAGCTTTTCGAGCGGGATCCGCGAGGCTCTTTTTGACAACCTCCTCGAGCGCCATCATCCTCACCTCGATGGGAGACTTCTTTTGGGTCATTTCCGTCCAGGCCCTTTTGTGTGCGTTGAAGGCCTTCACGGCCTCGTTCACATCCTCCAACGAGGGTAAGTCCTCCTCATCCACCTCTCCCATCACGATTAGTCTATCCTATTTTAGTAGTCTCCCCACGATTTCGAGGTTTCTATCCCTTGAATCTGTCTGCGCTCCGCTGCCGTTGTTTGTTGAGGCCGCTGTCGCATTTTGCGACGCGTCGAAACCGCTGGATTTACCCACACTCGCCATGTTGAAGCACGGAAAGCGAAATGATGGATCGAGGGTAAAGAAGATATAATAATGGTATTCACGATGTCAAATTGATGATAAAAGCAGCGTGGACCGCAGCGCAGCTTTCTAGCAAAAATGGTGTTTTTTCTACCTAGCACGGTAGTTAAAAAAACAAAAAAGAAATAATTATGTTGGTGCGTAATGTGTTACCCGTTTAGAAATGGCGTTAGGGGAGAGAGATGGCTGCTTTATAAAAGTAATTCGTGGAGAGAGATAGAGAAGAATTGTTAGATATAGACTATATTCTGATGGCGTTTAGACAGTGTTTATTAGACCGCAGGTTTCCGCCGCTGACCATACGTCAGTGGACAAATTACACTTCGGGACATGAGCCCGGTAATGAAGGCTGGAAAACTGAATACCGAGCTGACGGGCACGTTAGATCTTCGTTTCGGACGTGCGCATAATATTGGAGGCAGCTCGCAACTCGGCATCAAACACATACCTCATGGGATATAGGTGTCCTATCTTTGACTAAGGGAATATCCATAAAAGAAGGCATTTACATGTACATAGTAAAGTAGACTTCGCCAGAGGGGTTTTCCATAATAAATATATACGTCAAAGATACTTCAAGATTTTCATATTATTAACATCCAACTGCAATAGTAGCCACATCATATTCGACATACAGAACATAATCATTATATGGCTAAATATCTAGATAACTAGATTCGAATAAGAATCAAGATACATCTTAACTACCAATCGTTATTAATGCTGCAGAAAGCTTGTGATACAAATAACACCTCAATATTCCGACAGTATGAGAGCTTTGGAACGACAAAATGAAGGGCTCTGTTAAGTACATGATTAAAATCTGCGGGTAGGTACCATGCTGAATAGCTATCCGTCACGGGTTTTGTATCAGATATCTTATTTCCATCACAAAAGAGGATAGAAGGATTATAAAGGGTATATTCAAAACCAGAGAGAAGCCCATGGGATGAATGACCGGATTCAAGTAGCACAATATGTAACTGTTGGAATAATCAAGTGGTATTTATATCACAAGCTTTATAAAGCAGTAAGGGGAATTATTCTCAACACCTCTCAATTTTGTCCCCTACTAACCTCTAGATCTCACTGTCGCGTCTGCAGAGCCGAGATTGAGTAACAAAGTCCTCACTTCGACGAGGATTCCCAATCGCTTGCGCGGTCTCTATCCTCTTCATCTCTCAACACATTCCCCCATCACCATTATCATGAAGCCAACCACGATCAGATCAGATGGTAGGGTCGGAGTCCTACTCATCATCAACACTTGATCATGGAGGAAAAGCTATCCGATAAGTTTCCGGAGCGTACCCAGCACCCGATACGGAGATGGTGGATTGGATCAAGTCGACCTCGACTGTTACAAAGAAGGGAGATATAGATGAATATGCGCACCTCATGTGGTCCCGGTGTCTAGGCCTCGCCTGGCTGGGGCTGCAGGTTTTTTGTGACTTTTTCCCGCGCACGCAGTTTCCATTGCTACCATTTTTATTTTTTTTGAGTAGAAGGTTCTATGGAAAAGGTGGCAGAATTCCACGGATAAACACTGTGCTGAATGGCTATTCATCACGGGGAATATATCAATGATCTTTCAAGAAACATCAGAGGCAAGCAGGACTGTACAAGGTGTAGCCTGGCCAGAGAGGAGCGCGATGTGCTAGATATTCTGTGGCTCAAGCAGTACTATAATAACATGACACATCCTCAATATATCCCTATGGCTGTAAATGATATCTTACTTGACTTCTGGTCGTAAGCGAGTTTAAGGGCAATGTCAGACTTTAGATAGCTTTCATCCCTGCTATCAGACGGGATCCGTGCGATTATCATCAGGGATAGAGCTATAATCCGCTCCCTGAAATACCTTCAAATTCTAGATCGATCCTCCCCTCCACATCCCCATCTTCAACCCATTTTGCTCCTCCGAACTTCGCTATGCCTCTACAGGAGTATCTAACCTACAATGAGGTACGCAGAATCAAGCTCATCGTAAAGAGGAGTTATTGTGACCAAAACCGTCTCGCAGCCCTGACAGATCCTTGCCATAGGTTCACAAACTCTGCCAGGAGGCCGCCCCGCGAATTCTATCTGAATTCAAGCCTCAGCTCATAATAGCTATCGGCAGTGGCGGATATGTTCCAGCTCGCATGCTCCGATCTTTACTCAAACAGCCCGGCGCGCCCGATATTCCTATTCAAGCAATCGGCCTCTCCTTCTATCGACATAATCCTCAATCTGAGTACTCTGCTGCTATAAGTTCGGAGAGTTCACAGCAGCCAACGACTAAAGTCATTCGTACTCAGTGGCTCGATTTCCATAACCAGACGCAGATTAAGAGTCTGGTAGGGAAGCGGATTTTGATAGTCGACGAAGTTGACGATACAAGATCAACGCTTGCATTTGCAGTGAGTGAACTAAAAAATGACATAGAGCAAGCAAGAAAAATATCAAACGAGGAAGTTAGCGAGACAACATTCAATATTTTTGTATTACACGTACGCTACTACAATATCGTGAGTGTCTTGCTTATCAATACTAATGACAACATGACAGAACAAAATCAAAGAAAAGGAAGGAAAACTACCTGACGAAATACTGCTTAACCACTATATAGCCGCCAGAACGGTTGAAGATGTCTGGATCTCTTATCCTTGGGAAGCTAAGGATATAGATGAACACGACAAGCTTGCACGCAATAAAAGCGTTGAAATTTCAAAATAGCAGCGTCGAGTACACAAATAAGTTAGGCAAGAGTGAGAGCTTCAGTCCATTCTTGTTATCGTCTACATTAAGTCTCTACGCTGGCACAATTTAAAATCATGTGGGTCTATCAAGATTTTGGAAAGCGAGCTCTATTCTCTTTCCAATAAGTTGCAATTAATTTTAAGTATCATGTTGCAGGCATAATGAAAAGTCAAAATGATTATCATGAATTCTGGCTATTTATAAGTCTCAAGCTCTTGATTATTCTGCTTTAGAAGTAAGATACACCGGAACGGTTGATAGAATCATTACTGTGCGATGTCGAAAGCTTTTCGTTGCTTCCAGACTCATTGTTGCATACTCATTGCGAAGCGTTCAAATCTTTCGTACCAGATTCTCTTAACCAGTGAGCACGAGAATGAACAGGTACTTGACTAAAACATAATGTGAATAGCCTTTGGTTAAAAGGGTTTTAAGGAAATGGTCACCCCCTCAGCACAATCAGCACAGTGAATCAACAGTGTATTAGAAGTTAAGGTTGATTTGATGGGAAAAGACAAGTAGAGAATTTTAAGTCTTGATAAACCCTCTACCTCGATTGTGCTGGAGCAAACGAGTGTTGCAACACAATTATCTAAAAATTTAGCTATCTAAGACTCGGTTTTTGTGTAGTGAGATCAATCCTTTTCCTAGACTTAATTATTGAAATCCGCTTCAAGCATGCATATATAGAACTAGGGGGTTGGATGGTGCAGTGGTACGCCATCCGGGCCGTTCTCCAAAGTAGATACTGGGTAGCTTGAACACCGATCCCATTTGAGACAGAAAACTGGTTCGAATCCAGTGGGACTCACACACCACACTCTCACGCGGTATTTCTATGCTTGTAAAGATGATGGAGGTATGTCTGGATAAGTCAGGGTTTTTGAGACGTTCCCCTGGGTGGGTTGCACGGATGAGGGTTGACTTGGGGTGAAGAAAAAGCCACCATAACTTCGCAGTGGTACTTGCAAATGAAATCTGAGGCATGAGTGCTCTTCCTTAACGATGAATCATCTATTCTGTACTTTTCTTTGATATTGTGTCATAGCTAGATAGCTGCATACGCAATTAAAATCCGATGCAAAAAAAAAAAAAATACTGTGCTTGTAGGATGATGTAAGCACACTCGGATAGCCACATCATTTTCACGCTTTTCCCTGTGTTGCTTATGCACAGAAGAGGTTACACGCCGTAAGGGCTAACCTCGAGTGGTATCTGCAAGTGAAAACTTAGTGTGAGTGTTCTGAATGTCAAATAGAGTCATTCTATTTAAAGTATACAAATCTTCCCATAAAAGCGGCAAGGGACTCAAGGTGCCAAATCATGAAAACCGGACAATTTATTATTACAAGAGTAAGTTTCGAGGGCCCAAATGTGGCTCGCAGATATTAAAGCACACTACATGCTTTGTTTTAGTATACTCCATCCTAATACTTTGTGTACCTCCCATTTGGCCTAATCACCGCTACACATCTCTCGTGCATGCTACCGACTAGTGACGATAGCTCCTTGGAACGGATAGAGTCCCATGCGGCCTCTAGCAACATTCCTAGAGTTATTATTTCTATACATTGATCGCGAGTTAGCTACTTGCGAGCTTAAGTTTCAGAAGCAGCCTTTTCGAGAAATATCGTTTACTAGATCAGAGGATGAATTAATGGTGATTTTAAGAATTAAGGCTTTGTTGGTTGGGCAGCCAAAGGTGTCGTTGAAAATGACGATTGGAACACACTTCTTGGCAAGCGGGGTTGTGAGAAGGGACAGTCTACAGTCTCTTAAGGATGGCAAAGGTAAAATTGTCAAAATGACTGGAGTTAGATCCCTGTGCATATTGATTAGATTGGTTTAGTCTTCATGCAGGCCCATGTCTAGTTTGTCGACTAGTTCCGCAAGCAGGGGTACTATCCAACGATATTCCGTGAATGTCAAAATTAACGGGGACGGCTTTCAACACCAAAGGAAAAGTACAATGGTCCTCATTTAAAATTAAAAAATTAAAAAACAATTGATATTATCTAAAAATGCACATATATTTCAAGAATAGTTGTTCTATGTTACAAAAGTATACTCGAGGCCCTTAGTATGGCTCGCAACTAAAATGAAAGCGTACTTCATGTTTTGTATAATTCTGCTCCATCCCAATACTTTGTGTACCCTCCATTTTCTTTTATCACAGCTATACATCTTTCGTGCATGTTAACCTCACTTGACGGAAGCTTCTTCCGAGCAATGCATCTGCTGTAACCTATTTTATTGAGGGCATTAGAAATTAAACCCCCACTGCATCCCCAGTGGTTGAAAGGTCCCATTGCTAGTTCCAAATAGCACATCTGTCGATTTTCAGCAGATTCCCGGACGAAAGCCTCAAGCTCATCAACTTGTTCCGCGCTTATTTTAGATTAAGCATCTTTTGCGAGGCTTAGGATTCTCGGTCTCTCGAGCACACGCAAGTTGCACTTGCCTTCTTGTGAAGCCAAGTTCGTCGGATATATGTTGTAGTTTCAAGCCAAGTCTTCCTATTGTTCTTATTTCAATACATTGATCACGAGTTAGATGCTTGCGAACTTTAGATTCTGAAGCAGACTTTTCGAGAGACATTGTTTGCTAGAATAGAGAATGAATTGATAGTGGTGTTGAGTTTCAAGGACTATGTAGGTTAGGCAGCCACAAGTGTCGTTGGAAATGTGTTTTTCTAACTGAGTGTTGGAAGAAGACAATTGGAGCATACTTCATGGCAAGCGGGGTAAGGAGGAGAGACATACTAACCTATTACGAGCTGGCCCAACTGCACCTACAGGGCTAGTCCCTTAAACATCCCAGTTTCGAGGTTAACATTTTATATCTCAGAGGCACAATAAAATAGTAATGCGTCCAGAGATTTCTCATTTTTAGAAATATCCGGGACTACATTTTTGCTGTCATTCAGCTTTGACGCAGAATATTTCTCGCCTTAACCTATCTTTATGACTGGAGGAATAACCGGAGCCTTTTCTCTAGACTGGCGATGAGCTTTCAGGGCTGCTCTATCTCAAACCTTAGCTGGTATCGTACAACGTCAGTCATCTGATTCGGGTGTCGCATTAGCGTGTTGATCCTCTGACGATCTAGCGCTCTGCGTCACGGCGACCCTTATTTTCCACCATACCATGTAGCCCCATCGGTGTCTTGGTCTCTTAATTTTCACTCTTACCGGAAAAGCTTCTGAATTTGCCTCTGACTCCGTATCTGAAAAGCTCCAGTCATATTTCGCCGGCAAATCGGAGGTAAATACTGCTGACTCAGCTTTTGTTACGGTTAGACCGTTGTTTGAGCTTAGGAGTAGACCTAAGCTTAATATTGAGAATTCTTACGATAAGACTGTATGGGGAGTAGATGAAGCTTAACGAAACAGCACTACTAGTCAGGAGGCTGAACGTTACTACAACTTAGTGACGCCTGGAAATACGTGGCTGGGTAAGAAGTATTGTGCCTGAGGACAAGTCACTAGTCTGTAGATTTTCGAGGATGATTAACTCTTATAAATACCTGTTAGTAGTAACTAGAGTTATCTTTTCTCCTCATATAGTTTAATAAATCGACTTATTCATCACCAACTCTGTTTCCGTCACAGCGTCGAGCTTTCTAGGTTTCCTCTTTTTTTTATCTGCACCGCATCTGCGTCTATCTGGTCTCCTCTAACCTGTCTCAAATCCTCCAAAGTCATTTGTCGAGGGAAAATTGGGACTTTTATTGAGCCAGTTCCTGAAAATGCTTCGGTTTGACTTTGCTGGGATTGCTCATCTTCGTATCTAAAACTCAGCTTATCCAACTCTTTCACTCCCGACATTGCCTGTCTTCGTAGCTCCTCGTTTTTGGCTATCTCAGCCATAAACGAGCCAATGTTACGAGAATTTTGGGTATTTCGTAACTTTTTAATGCACGCTTGTTCTCAGTACGACATCGATTGGTTCCTACAATTTTCCCTTAGATAGACCCCGACTCCTTCGAATTAGCCACACTAGTAGCAACAATTTTCTTCCTTGTTCACTTGCTGGCCATGTATCAATGAGCAGCGAGAAGTTCTTGGATCTGGTAGCTGCTGGTCCTTGGGGATAAGCACTGGGATAGGATCTCAATTTCTGAATGGAACTAGTGCGAAGTTAGGTTGAGCCGGGACTTTTTGGTCTAGCAACGCTAGCGCAGATGGCGGAATGAGCTGGACGGCTCTAGAGTTTGCGGCATTATAAGGCAGTAGAAGATACTGTTTCGACTTCCGCAGAGAGACACAATAAGCGTATTATTCTCGTTGTGGGAGTACTCCTTGCTTTAATCTTTCGACGATCTTGAATTATCGAATCACAGTCGTTTCTTTGCTTCTACTTTCGCTTCCACTTCTAAGAATTTGCTGGTCGCTGCGGAAAGCGTATCACATATGAGCCAGTCACGCCTGCTCCAAACTTATTCTCTGAGAATGCTGTTGTGTAACCCTTTACCAAAAGCACTTTTAACCTGTCGAACCTTTTGAGCTAGTTCGGAAGCTTTAATGATTGAGACTGAAGGTATGTAGAAGAATAACTCGCACAGGAGCTTTCAATTGAAGTAAAAAAGATGTAATTGTCTATCTTCCTTCATCTTTCTCTCAGCTTATTTATCTACATATATCTACAACCTGACATATGATGGTAATATCTAGAAATAGCTTCCTTACATCAAAAGACACAATTCAAACATTTTGTAGCCAAGATATAATCCTAAAACGACTCGATACTAGTTCACCACGTCTATTACACGGACCCCAAGTAGTTTCTAGCTGAAAATTACCAAAACGCCAAGGTTTTCCTGAGGCAATCACAAATTATATCAGGTACCAGCTTGGCATGTTATTCTGACAATAATGTTAGAAGAATGGAATTTGCATAAATCACGAAATATTAAGTCAGGAATATGGATTCCATCGGGCTCTGATCCTGGTCTGACAACCCCTCCTAGTATTAGACGCGTGGTTTAAGACTATCGTTCAGATTCAGAGTCGAGTTTATTTTGAAGTTGAAGTTTCATGTCGTGAAGTCGAAGTAATTGACGAAAATGAAGGAACTTTTGTCGGAGTAGTGCTATAGTGTCACGGTTTCGAGGGACAAGTGTTGGGGCAACTATGTGGTTGATGGTAGTAAATAATAATTCTAAGGAGAGAACTTCCACTACATCTATCTATTCATTTATATACGTGAAAGCCTCCTCGCCACCGAGGATAATCCCTCTCCTATTCCTATGCTATGGGACTCCCCTAGTGTTCTGACTATGCCTGTAATACAGCACTATCGCGTTATAGTCCGGAGGGATTGTACTCGGTCTCGTATATTCTCAGTCAGTGTAAGCCTATCAACATGTTGTGCAGTGCCGTACTGCCGTGCCGCACTACCGAGTCCGGTGCCATGTATTATGGATATGAGCTAGAGGATGATATTTTAATATTTACGTGAGAGCGGATGTTGAGCCGTTGATGAGGTCTGGAAGTGACAAGAGAGCCGTTTATGGTTTATTATATTGATCTTCTCTAACTGTATCCACACCATCACAATGTATCCATTGTTGAATATTTATACCAGAAATAAAGCTCCGCCTAGTCAGCATACGCTAACATTAACCCAGTTTCTTTCCCAACTAAATCTTCATTCTGCCAAGATGATTACATCACAACACCATGTGAATACCATGCAAATGCCGACACAAAAGTATTGAATTGGGTGGCGTCGCATATTAGTGCATTGGTAGTCATTAATAACGCCACTCGAATCAGGCCTAAGTTAACCAACATAGGCTACAGGGACCAATCGGCTTACCAACCGTTACATATAGTGAATAAATCTACGAGTATTTGGTCTGAAGGAATGTAGTATGGTGGTTTTTTGTTGTCATGGAAATATATATATATATATATTTTTTATTTTTACTGAAAATAACATCGAGCTCTTTTGACTTCTTTTTTCTACTCAATAAATATACGGATTAAAATTGCTGAAAATTATCTCGCTAGAGGTCTGATTTTCCCACGGGTTTATCCAAATGTGCGATGTACTGACTAGTCTGTCGATATAGATGGGGCATGTTTGTTAATGTTATGAGTCATATGGGAACATAGTTACTTGTCACTTGTTATGTCTGATTGGAGTATGTAGAGGATGTGTTCGACAGATTTCGATACTGCCAGAAATATGAATATATGCTATCTTATATACATCTGTATGACCCATGTCATAGTCTTAGTTCCATCTCGTGATTGACTATCTATAGTAATCACATTACCAATCCAGCGCTCATGAATCCACGGTTCATGAGCGGCCATCACTGCTCCTGCGGCTCTCGTATATCCTCCGCTTGCCAGTCGCATCACTGCTCCTATAATCGCAGCTCAGTACCCTAGTTGAGCGCCCCTGAATAGCTGATCCAGGGGCGACCGTACTGGTTTCCTTTAGTGACACTCGAGATACACCTGTACACTCGATGCTGTTGCATATACGCTGAGTGGTACCCAACCCCTTGCGGCTAGCACTTATATTCCAGGGGCTTATGGTGTCGCTACCCCGATCGCTTCCATGTATAGTTTTTACCTGGGCGCTCCCGCGCCCGAATCTTGGTGGCGAGCAGTAGATGTGCATGTTGCAGTGCTAGGCATGGGTTTGCACCTTCGGTACCGTGACCGTTATTTGTCGGTACTATCTCAACAATGTTTCTGGTTATTCTGAAGCAAGCTAAATAGTTTTACCATTAGAGATATCCAAATCTCCATATTGTATTCAATTTGGCTCGAAAATGGTAGAATGAAATTGGATCTAAGTCTTGATTTATGATAAAAATGGCGATTATAAATAAATACCGTTATTTTCCAAATATCGGGCCAGAGAGATTCTGGTAAACTCGAAGAAATACGCATCATGCGCGCTTTTGTAGAAATTACCCCTCCAGAACGCTCAGCGGAGCCGTTTTGAGCAGGCGTATAAGGCGCAGTAAGCTCGTCTAAGATTCCATGATCTGGGATAAAGTTTTGATATTCTTGTCGCAAAGAAACATCATTATCTCGATAAACGATGCATATTTCAGAAAAAAAACATCATTTTTGCCAGAAAGCTGCGCAGCCTTCCACGCTGCCCGTATCATCAATTTGACATCGTGATTCTTATTTTTACATCTTTTCGCTTTCCGTGCTCCAACATGGCGAGTGCAGGTGCTGGTGTGGGTAAATCCAGCGGATTCGACGCGTCGCAAAATGCGACAATGGCCCTAACAAATAACGGCAGCGGAGCGCAAACAGCTCTAAAGGATAAGAACCTTGAAATTTTAGGGAAACTATTGAAAAAGGTCAGACTAACCGTGATGGGAGAGGTGGATGAGGAGGACCTACTCTCAATGGAGGACGTGAACGAGGCCGTCAAGGCCTTCAACGCGCACAAAAAGGCCTGGACGGAAATGTCCCAGAAGAAGTCTCCTATCGAGGAGAGGATGATGGCGCTCGAGGACGTTGTCAAAAAGAGCCTCGCGGATCCCGCTCGAAAAGCTGCACCAGCAGTGGTTTCTGGCGCGCCGAGACCAAGGAGCTACGCGTCGGTCGTGGCTCCGCAAATAACGAAGACAGCTGTAGAATAAGAATCGATGGCGCCCAAAAATTGCAGCCACAAGAGCTGCTAACAAAGGCACAACAACACATTAAAGGCGCATACGCGATTCGCCAAATGCGAAGCAACGACACTGAGGTGTTCGTCCAGTCTGCGTCCCAGAGAGACGAGGCGCTAAACATGCGACAACCAACGGACTTCAAAATTCTACGGCAAGATTTTCCAGTCGAGGTAGACGGTGTCCCATTGCGGACACGAATTGAAGGGGGCAGAGATGCCAATAATTTTGCTATCATCAGGGAGATAGAGACGGCTACAAATGCACGGATTCCAGGCTTAGTGATAAGTCGTATAAGGTGGTTACACGACGGAAAGGAACACCAGCGGTCAAAGAAAAATGGTCGTACTCGTGGATCAATTGTGGTAAGACTCCCATCGGAGGCAATGCAGACGGAAGTGGTCTGAAACAGCCTTGTCATGAACGCCATGCTCTACACCGCGCAAGTGTGGTCACCACGGTCCCAGCCGAAGTAGTGTTGCAACTACAGTCAGCGGGGACACACGCAGGCGTTGTGTGAAAAGGTAGCTAGGTGCGGTGAGTGCGCTGGCGCTCACCAAACTCGGGACTGTCCGAGGAAAAGGGTTTCTTGTGCCAAATGCGGCAAGGAGCACCGTTCGTGGCAGAAAGCAGCGTGTCGGACCTACCAGGTCTACAAGGGAAGTGTGGAGAAGGCTCGGATGGAGCTATTATCGAGGACGGCGGAAATATGGAACGAGAAACCTACGGTGGCGCCAATGCGAACAGTCGAAACGACTGATGATCAAGGATTCACTTTGGTCACCAGTAAAAAGGCTGAAGGACTCAAAAGAGGGCCGGGACGACCACGCAAGGTAGTCGAAGCCTCAGTGGCACCAACAATCCCCGCCACAACAGCACCACCATCGGGGCCAACTCTTCGAACACTTCGAAGACCAACGCCGAGTGAGGAGGTGCCTTCTCTTTTTAATTTTTCATAACGTTAGTCTGATTGAAGGGGGAGTTAACGAATATCGAGGAAAGTTTACATAATTGCGGTTGAAAGGAACGTCCTCAGCATAAAGCCGGGTCGGTTCAAAGTGGCAGGACATCGGGTTTTGTTTGTTGAAAGCTTTTTCCCTTACCAAAGCGGCTTACCGTCTTCATGGTTCTGTATATAGATACCGCATAGGACGTTAAACTAGATCAATGAATGAATGCATATTTCAAGTGAAACTTGAGTTCTTATAAATCTCTGAACATTAAAAAAATTTACAGGTTGTCGAATAGATAAATTTGAAAGTGCGTGGAAAAATATTAGGTTTGTATAATAATTCTTGACCAAGAACGCTACCTTTTTCCCGTTATAACTTGTTGGTGGGGAAAATCAATCAAAAATTTTCAAAGATGGTCTCGTAGCTGACGATAGAGGTAGAATACAGCTTAGTACACTTTTTTCTTTAGCAAGCTTGCTAGGCTCGCAGTTCTCTGGTTCTTTTTTAATTCCAAACGGTGATAAAGAATGATTTTCAATAACTTTTTCGAGTATCTTGCTAGAAGGATGTCCAAGTCGTTCATGCCAGGTTGGAATATCTGTTGGTGTTACATATTTTATATCTGAACCCTTTGTAGAAAATGAAGATTTAGTAATTACTGATTCAAATTTGTTATACTCAATAACATATTGGTTGAGAATTCTTTCTGTAAAGCAAATTGTTTTTTCTGAATTAAAAATGCATCCTGTCTGTGGATTCCACGAAATTCCTGCAGATTGTAACCTAGTGATTGATGCAAGAGACGTATGGAAAGATGTTATATACGCCACATCGTTCAGTTGGAAAAGTCCTATTGAAATCTTCATAAGAACTGTTATATATCCGAGAATTTCAGATTTTCTGCTCTCTGCCACAGCTGTAGATGGCTTAGAATAGTAATTTGAGAATCGAGAAAATTCATGGCAGATATGCTCGTCAGAACCTGAATCAAGAAAGAAAGAATTTTTTAGAGGATAGTTGGAGCAGTTGAGAGATGGTTGAGAGAAAGTTAGAGCTGTTGATACTGCGGCTACTGCTTGAATTTTGGGTAGAATTGGACCCGAGCTTTGATGCAGCTCAGAATTTCGTTTCTATTGAAAATTCGTTCTACAGCGTATGGAAAAGTGGGTGATATCTAACTTCGTTGCTTGTGGCCTATATACATTTCCACTCCAGAGCCTCCTGTGCGGGTTGCCATAAATATATTAGGGTTCGGAGCTGTGGGAGATTGCAAGCTCTCTATTTTCTGGTTATTTTATTACAATAGAGGTAAGGCTCTTGAATACAAAGAATTAATGCATCTTCCTTCAGAGCCACCTCAAAGAATGATTGAAGGATTTCTCTCCCTCTGTCAGTATTGTGCTGGCAAATTTTGATGTGTTCTATTATAAAAGTGCCTTGTAGATTTCGCAGTTATGTTTCTGAAGAGCTGTATGGCTCCCAGAGTTGCAGTTGGCACATTTCACTAGGTGATATGTGCAATTTTCCGAGGTTTCACAGGTGTTGCACTTGTGCTCAGTGGTGAGGTGACAGCCCTTGCAAACTGAACAGACAGCTTCCCTCTTGCAGGTCAAGAAAAGATGACCATACTTCAGGCATTTCTTGCACTGAATTTGGCTGGTAGTTTGCGTGTAGTTAGATACTTAGAGCTGCAGTCCTCCAACTAATATCCCCCTGTTCAGAATCTTAATTTTCCCTTCCTCAGAGGTGATGTTGAAGATAACAGGACATGTTGGGCCATTAGTGTTGTTTGTGAGCCATCTTGGATTACCAATAGTTTCCACACCCAGGTTGAAATCTTGTACTTCCTTTTGGAAGGCAGAAATTGGTAGACTGGTTAGTACCCCATAAGCTACCAGTTTTGGAAAGTTATTTACTTTTTGGATGGTGTCAATAGGCCATTTTCCAAAAAGCATGATCCACTTGTCCTGTGAAGATAGAAGCTCATCAGGGGTGCAGTTAAAGCAGGTGAGAACGAGGTTATTTCGAGGGGAGGTGTGGGCTCTTGCCACAGCTTTCTTTCCAAGAAGTCTGTTGATGTTGTCCCTCACACTTATAGCATTGTGTGTAGGTACTGAAGAGCCCTTTTTCAAGACAAGAATCGGCAGTGTGTCAGCATTAGGGGCAGTGGTAACAGTTGTTGGGGTAGTGTTAGTTGTAGAGCTATTAATAAGTTGGTGGATTGGCTTGGTGATAGGCAGCCTGGTCTTCTTGTGGTTGACTTTAGTCCAATTTTGGTCTGATAGAATAGAATAGAATTTAATTTAAGTCCCTACTGAGTCTGTGACTATGAAGGACTGCTAAAACTATATAAATAGATCTAGATTTTAATATGAAAGTTGTTTGTTGATATATTCAATGTTTTCTAATAGATATTGAGGGTAATGCCTAGTTTTGGTCTGATGATGCAGTGGTATGAGAAATTTTTTGAGCTACTACACTAGAATAGCTGGCAATTTTAATAGAATATTTTGGGGAGCTCGAGAAATAGTTTGTGGCCATTTGCACCAGTCCAGGAGGAGTGGGTTTCGAGATTATTTGGACAGCTAATTTTGCCACAGCTTTTGGTGCAGTGGTATTACCTCTGACTACCTCTCCTGGTAGAGTATCCTTTTCACTGAAGTCTCGAAAATTTTGTAGCGAGTCAAGGATCCTAGTCTGTCTTTCACTGTTAAATATCAATTTGTAAGCCTCCAGAATCTTATCCCTGGCTGCATAAATTACATCATCAGCAGAGAGTGCAACTGAATAGTTAGTGGTAGGTTTGTGAAGCTTGGCTGGCTCGGGATACTCATTAGTTAGATGAGCTTTGACCAGTTTTTCGCTTGATAAGCGAAAATTTTTCTTGTCACACGATACAGGAGCAGAAACGGGATCAGAACTGGTCTCCATGGCTGTAGGAATAATGGATGAAGATTAATTTAATATTAATGGATTTGCTGAGTTTTGGAGAGTTAGATTCCCAGTCCAAATTGATTCATTGACTCGTAGTTGGGATGGTAGATCAATTAATGGTGGTGGTGATGAAGGTAAAGAGCCATCAAATGGGTTATCAGAGTCAATATCCATTTTATTGTACAGCCAGCAGACTGGAAGGGATAAAAATAAGATGCAAATTTAGGTATGAATGATGCGAAAACGAGTTTATTGAGTAATAGATAATCCAGCTGCTGTATCAAAATTTATTGTCGAAAAAGTGTCTTCGCAAAAAGTGGTCGACGTTTTAGCTCCGTTTTGTAATTTAGATGTTAATACTTGGGGAAAGAAAAACGAAGAAGATAGACGCAAATATACCATTTGTGTATTAGCATTTTTGAAGGTATTAAAGCGAGTGTACCTCGTTACACTAACAACAATAGCGAGTCCGAAAAGCTTTGTTCTATCCTTTCCTCGAGTCATTTGAATCTGGTTGTAGCCCTGACGAAGATCTAGCTTAGTGTACTGTCTCAATTTAACGAGACGATTGAGGGTCTCTCTAGTTAAAGGTAATATATATCGATTTTTGTCTGAAATTTCATTGAGGCCTCGATAGTCGACATAGAGGCATAACGTTCCATCCGATTTTTCGCCAAATAAAATGGGTGCACCAGCTGGTGAAAAGCTCGCTCGAATAAGTCCCTTTTCGCGATTTTCTTGTATGCGTCTTTTCAACTTCGCAAGCTCTTCCCACGACATTCCATTTAAAGGACTAAAGGTGGATTTTAATTTTTTACAAGTGTTATTTTATGCTCATATTTGCGTCTTTTAGATAGATTGTCTGCGAGTTTTCTATTAATCATGCAGTAATATTTTCTGTGCTGACTTGGAATTCTCCCCTCCAAATTATTGCTACTTTCTGTAGAGGCCTACGGTTTATCTTTGATTCCTTGGGTGTTCATGCAAATAATCTGTAGGTTTTCATTTCGTGCGAGGCTATGGAGAGTGTCTAAGCTGAACATGTGAAAACTTATCTTATTTTTTTTCCCTTTATTTGGTATTAAATTTATAGAGGGGTTGCATTAGCGCTTAAAAAATTTAGAGTCGAATAAAATTGTGTTTTTTTTATATGATGTTGGATCGTGTTTTTGAAGCCAGGTAATCCCCATCACTAGAGGATAAGAACCTAGCTTTGTAACAAATAAAAGGAACTATTTCATGATGAGAACCAATTGCTAAAGGTAAATGGTAGATGTGCGTAATATCTCCGGACGATATAGGTCTTCCGTCAATTACATGGATTATATGAGGAATTTGGAGAGAGGAGAGTGTGAGTTTGTGATTGAGAGCAGATATTTCGTCCATGAACGCTAGACCGGGACTGCCGGTATCAATCAGAGCATAACTTGAGATCTGTGAGCATTTATTTTCAGCTATACAATCAGTAATTAAATGATCACTATCCAGGTTGTTCTCTAAAGAAGATTCCGATTATTCAGAGATACAAAACGCAAACATTGAAGGAGCGTGTAGGGGTCCCGGACAGGGGCCATTTTTCAAATCCGGGATCATTGAAAATCTTGTTGATGCTTCGTGGCTACTTGGGGGTCTCTAGACTCGTGACTTCTGCGCCGATTTGTTTTTGGGGCAAGAGTTTTAGCTATGAATAGCCCCAGCACAATAGATACAGAAATTATTTTCTCGCCGCCATTGTTTTTCGCTTGCAGCTAATTTTGGCAACCCGTTTAGATACATGTATCGATCCTCAAAAGAATGACGTAGGGTCATGTGAGCTTTCAGAGCAGAGAGGTCCATCGGAGCGAGATAACCTGAGACGTGCAATACCAGCGTATCCTGGGCTCTTGCTTCGGCGGAGGGAGTTGATGCATTCAATAACTGGGTTCGTGTCACAGATTTCTTCGAAAGGGCACAACGAACAGTCTGATTCGAACGAAATCACGATCTGATGTAATCAATCTTCTCCTTTTATTTTTTATTTTGTTTTGTAAAATCTTTTCTTGATTTAGTACCAACTGCATAGCATGAGATTTGTTGGACGGACGACCTTCATGTACACTATAATCTTCGAGCGTAGGATGATAAGATCCTAGCTATTGTTTGCTTTGTTGGGTCTGTGTGGGCGCCAACACGTCGGGTAGTTTAATTTAGACTGGGCTAGACGGTACGTGAGCAACTCACGTGCTGTGCGCGGGCACGACGTTGAATATTATAAATAAAAATAAATAAAACCTGAGACGTGCGAGGGGTGAGCTGAGCTGTGAAAATTTTGAGGGGCTACTGCATTGTGATTTAAATTCTGTTCAACTTTAAGCCCACGGATTTGATTGTCTAGGATCATCAACATTCATGCGTATTCCTCAAAATTTGAGGGTTTATGCATCTGATCAATCATAGCATTTTTGAAGTCGATTGAAAGCCCTTTATCTAAGGCATCAATCCTCGCATATTCATTGTAGTTAAGACACCCAGTTATGCGAAAGAATTCAGAGTAGTACCTAGAAAATCTCCTATTCCCTGCTGAAGGTTCTGAAGTTCTTGGCGCGCGGTCCCATGGAGATCCGGGTCTTCAAAAGATGCTTCAATATTTACAATTAGAGATTGAATGGATGCGAGCGGTGTTGAGGGATTTGCTCTAACAATGGGAATAATTTGTTGCAGAGCTCGACCTTCTAAACGACTGATTGAATAAATTACTTTCGATTGCTCATCTTGAAATCGATCACTATTAATTTTTAGTTTCATATGGAGCTGTGTGACAAATCCCGGAAGGTTTGAACGGTCTCCATTAAACTTTTCTGGATCAGGAATTCTTTCGGATAAAATAAATATTTGTGGGATTTGGTAGTGGATAGGGAATCTAAACTATACGAGCGACATTAAGATCTACGGT